TCCTTTTGTTGTACATGAACAACTCTCTGGAAACTGGCACTCACTGCACTGTATACATCCAATGCAGCAGCTTTCTTTGCAATTTGGCGTTTCAATAAATCTGGTAAGCCACTCATTAGGAAGTCACGTTTTGCTTTAAATTGTATGTTGCAATCCTGAGATTTTTCAGATGTATCTTGACTTTTAAGAAAATAATTGGAAAAAGAAAAGCTAAGGTTATAAACACTTCAAAGAATAAACTATCTAGAAAATAAAACCTTTTAACCTAATTTTAAAAATTGGTGTGGTGGCTCACACCTATAATCCTAGCACTTTGGGAGGCCGAGGAGGGAGGATTGCTTGAGCCCAGGAGTTCAAGACCAGCCTGAGCAAGACCTAGACTCCCATCTCTACAAAAAATAAAAAAATTATCGGGGTGTGGCGGTACACGCCTGTAATCCCACCTACTCAGGAGGCTGAGACAGGAGGACTGCTTGAGCCCAGGAGTCTGAGGCCACAGTGAGCTATGAAGACGCCATTGCACTCCAGCGCAGGCAACAGAGTGAGACTCTGTCTCAAAAGAATAAGTAAATAAAAATAATCAGCTACCTAAGATGTTAGCTGGTCAAATTCCTTTTTGCTTATCACAAAAATGAAAATCTATTTATGTTAAGAAATTAAATAAAATAAATTTTAAAAACGCCTGGAAGGACATCCACCAAAATGGTAACTGGGGCTAGCTTTGGGTGGTAGGTGAGTTTTCCCCTCTTGTGTTTTGTTTTCTTCTTAAACATGCATTTGTATTATAATCAGAAAAAAAATTCAGTGCCATATTTCAGAAAGTTAATACAAGAACTTCTAATGTTATATTGTTTCCAATGTAATAGGAGGGAAATTAGGGCACTTATTGATATCTTGGTTTAAGCTGGCTTATCTTCAGATTACAACTTATAAAAATGTTGACTATAGCACAGGAGGTAAGAAGGGAGTGAGAAGGTGCAGAGAATGGGAGGCTGGAGTGGTGGCGGGGGAAGGAGTGTGGTGGTGTGTCACAGCTTCTATGCCCTTCCTAGCCTGCCGTAGAGACGGTAAGAATTGCAATATTCTCTGCAAATAGAAATTTGGGTTGGTAATTAAAAAGAGGCTACAAAATCTTTTACTGTATTTCCGTTTTCCTTTACTGTTTGAGTGAAATGAAAACGAGCTCTGAAGCCAGAATAGAGGAATTAATTGTAGAAAAGAGGAGGTGCACTTTTTTCTATAGTTACCAGGAAGGAAAGAGGAAAAGATAAGTAAAGTTGTAGTTAAATTAGTATGTACCTATAGCAGAAGGTAAACTTAAAGGAGAGGAGTACAAGGTACTATTATAAAATATACATATAAGGCCGGGTGCCGTGGCTCACGCCTGTAATCCTAGCACTCTGGGAGGCCGAGGCGGGCGGATCGTTTGAGCTCAGGAGTTCGAGACCAGCCTGAGCAAGAGCGAGACCCTGTCTCTACTAAAAAGAGAAAGAAATTGGCCAAACAACTAAAAACAGAAAAAATTAGCCAGGCATGGTGGTGCGTGCCTGTAGTTGCAGCTACCTGGGAGGCTGAGGCAGGAGGATCGCTTGAGCCCAGGAGTTTGAGGTTGCTGTGAGCTAGGCTGATGCCACGGCACTCTAGCCCAGGCAAGAGAGTGAGACTCTGTCTCAAAAAAAATAAATAAATAAAATAAAATATACATATATACTATATATATATGTATTATATGTTACACATATATCATACACACAGAAATATAATAGTTTTGGATATGTACGTGTGTGTATGCATATACATACATATATATACCAGCTTTATCTGTTGAAAAAGTCTAGAAGCATTGACACCTCCAGGAGCAATGAGCACAATGAACACCTAGATCTTGGTTTCTAAATACCATTCTCCACTAGAAGGAACCAGGGATCATTGTAGAAATGGCTGACTATAGGCTGAGGCAGGGCAAGTGAAAGATTAGCCTGGAACATGTACCTGTTTCAGAAAGTAAGAAATGCTCAATAAATTATGAGGACGTGTCAAAGAGACATATTTACCAAGCTGAAGGGTTCACACTGGCCAAATTAAAAACATTTTGAGCATCACAATAAATAATATTAATGGGTTACAAGCTGCTGAATAAAATAAGAATGAAGAGGTAAATGAATAAATAGATATATGTGAGGAGACACAAAAGCTCTTCCCTAAAAAGCAGCCAACTAACAAATGAAGAAACAATGACCGCAATGGAGAATCACCATTTGGCGACCATCATAATGTGATTAATCCAGGTAGAAGTCACCAATGTTAAGGCCAATAACTCTGCAGGTTTGATGAGGAACAAGATATTGGCATTACCTTAGAATACCTTCCAACAAAATATTAATTTCAAAGGGAAAAAGATGAATTTAAGATTGACAAATCTGGCAGATACCAACACATCCAGCTGATCAAGGAGGAGGAGCAGGATGGGTTAATGTCACATGCCTGCCTCCTATGTGATGCATTGAGAAGAGCAAAGCAGTGTTTCCATGGTAATCCTGACCAACAAGAGTGTACAAGCTGAGTCTGGTCATGAGGAAAGCAGGGAGACCCAGGTTGAGGGTCATCCTATAGCACATAAAGTCTACATTTCTTAATAAAAGCAGTCAAGGACATGGAAATCTTGGTGAAAAGGACATGGGAGTCTTTGTAGTTTTCTGGCAACTTTTCTTAAGTTTAAAGTTATTTCAGGGCCAGGCGCAGTGGCTCATGCCTGTAATCCTGAACTTTGGGAGGCTGGAGACAGGAGGCTCATTTGAGGCTAGGAGTTCGAGACCAGCCTGCGCAACAGTAAGATGCAGTCTCTACAAAAAATAAAAAAATTACCTGGTGTGGCGGCACACGCCTGTAGCCTCAGCTACTTGAGGGGCTGAGGCAGGAGGATCACTTGAGCCCAGGAGTTTGAGGTTGCAGTGAGCTATGATGACATCACTCCACTCTACCCAGGGTGACAGAGTGATTGATATGATATACTTCTCAAAACTGTATGTTTCAGATTTGTGCACTTAACAATATGTACTTATGCCTCAATAAATTTGAAACGCAGGCGGGGTGCAGTGGTTCACGCCTGTAATCCTAGCACTCTGGAAGGCTGAGGTGGGAGGATCCCTTGAGCTTGGGAGTTCAAGACCAACCTGAGCAACAGCAAGACCCCGTCTCTACCACAAATAGAAAAATTAGCCAGGCACAGTGGCACATGCCTGTAGTCCCAGCTACTGAGGAGGCTGAGGCAGAAGGATTGCTTGAGCCCATGAGTTGGGGTGAGACACAGTAAAACTCTGTCTCAAAAAAAAAAACTGAAACAGAAAAAAAATAATAACCTAAACCCATAATGTCCCAAGACCTGATCTTTTTCCATCTTGCCATCCAAGTGCATAATCCAGAACTTAAACGTCATCCTTACAACCTCCTCTCCCCTACCTCCATCCCCCAAATCTAATTAATCATCACCAGTTTTTATTTAAATGTATCTCCTAAAAGCTTTTTATACATCATCTCCAACACCCTAGACCTCACCTCCATCATCTCACCTCCATCATCAGATCCCCTCTAACCCTTCTCCCATTCCATTCTTTATGCAATAGCTAGATTCATCCAGCACATAGATTAAACTTTCAAAATCCAAATATGCTTATATCCATACTGTTGTTTCAAACCCTTTGGCTACTTCTTATTGCTCTTAGCATAATGACAAATTTTTTAACATGGGCTGCGAGGGCCTAAGTTGGCTGGCACCCACCTCTCCAGCTTAATCTCACATTCCTGCGCCTTCCCTCCCTCCACACTTCTTTCCTCACATTTCTTTCCCTCCCCAGCTCTTAAAAAAAAAAAAAAAAA